CTTTCAAGAAATTATGCCATGGCCCATTATCATTAATAGTTAAAATTAAAAAAAAATAAAAGTGGTGATAAGTATTACTCAAATTTAAGCTATCAGAATTTTTCTGTTTAGATGGTATAATTCTGAGTTTCTCCAGATACAAATGCTATTTGTTCCTAATTTTTAAAACTTAATTTTGGTATATGATATATAGGCAGAAAACTGATAGGATATCATTTATAATATCCGAGTGATTAAATGCATTATACGAAATGCCTAGAGTATACGGACAGGGTTAAACATTTCGGTAATGTAGCACTTTGAACGCATTATGTATAATACTTCATACTGTCACAGAAATATTTTCAAATCCTTCTTATAATAATTTATTTACATATAAAATCGATTTAATTAATGTTTGATATTTAATTAACTAGAATTAAAAGTAAACAAAAATAATAATTCTGAAGTACATAATTTAACCCCTCCTTTGAGAATACATGCTCCCTCAATAAAACTGAATCGTACGTGTTCCATCGAAGAAATAAAACGTTCAGCTCAACAATAATTAACATTTAGGCATTCAACATTAAATTAGGCAAATCAACATTAAATTAGGTGTAATTATAAGAAACATTCTAAATTCAAAATCATCTCGTTCTGCTTAATTTCTTTTATAATCAATTTTTTTTTTTTTTTTTTTTTTTTTAATTTCGATAGTTGAGACTTGTGTGATATTTGGAATTTTACCTTATTTTCTCTTCCAGATTTGCATCTATCAGAGTTTCAACTAACTTTGCAACCACATTCGTCGTAAATTTGTCTTCCAAAAATTAGATAACATTCTTCCGCACAGTCTTAGTAAAACTATATCTGGTAGTTCTTCAGCAGCCAGCATTTTCAATAAAGAAATTATTATAAGAATAAATGAAAGCCCATTGCTCAGCTCGTATGAAGCATCATCCAAAATGCTTTATTGATTCCTCTATTTGTAACATAAGTATACTGTCATATTATCCGTAACATATATATACTGGGCGTCCCCTAAGTACTGCATAAACTTGCCATAACGGTATTAATGTACTTGAGTAGATACAAGATGACCAAGAATTACATTGCCAAGACAAATTGTGTTTGAGGAAAGGGAAAATTAAAAATATATCGCCACATATCCTGAAAGAAAAATAAACTTTAAGAATGACAAACACCAGAGTTGACTGAAATAAGCTATTTGTTTATCACTGAAAATAAGTTTGCAGTACAATTATCGGGCGTTTTATCTATTTACAAAAGGAATTTATTTCAACAAATAAAGCTTCTGGTAGGATCTTTGTGTAAATAACGTGTACCCACCGTACATCGCGCATATTATGTTCAACATTAATATTTTAATAAGCATATTATCATCAGTAAATTAGCAGCTTAGTTTACGTTTACTCTAATCATCTGTCATGTTTATAACAGTTGAAGTAAAGTTTGTCTTCCTTGCATTGAAATAAGACGTTATAAATTTTCATTCATATGGTAAAGGTATGGCCAGTATTCATCCACTTAGAGCGAAGAACATGCGGTATTAATGGAACATCATATCCGTATATATACGTGTTGGTGTATATGTTACCGTGAAAGACCGAAATTGGAGAATGTCGACTTTCACCGGAGAATATCAACATTCACCAAATACCGAATATTTCACTACATTCTTGTATATTCGGACCCTCACCGGTGTATGTCGACAATCACAGATATGCTCTGGTGAAAGTCGAAAAGAGAGGTCATAAAGTGCCATAATAGTTTAAGTTGTTGCAATAAATAAGTTTTTTAATCACATAATTTAGTAAGTTTTTTATTACTGTTATTTTATTTTCTCATTTAGAACGTACTATATAATTAAGTAAGTTTTTAACTTCTCTTATTTTCCTTTCTCTCATTTCGAATGTATTGTGTGTTTTAGGTTCTCATGTTCTTAAGTTCTTATTTCAAATTTCAAGTGCGTTTATTCGCGACTGAATTACGGAGAAGAAAATATAATATTGTTATATGTTCAACATTCACCATTAGTACATGGTGAATGTCGACATTGACCGGTGTAAGTCAGAAATAAGAGTATTTGGAAAATATTTCGGACATACACCAAGAGACTATGTGAATGTTGACATTCACCGGTGAAAGTCGACATTCTCCAGATTTCGGTGTTTCACCGTAACATATATACTAAGTATATACAGGGTGTATCAGTGAAGATGCTCGCAACTTTAAGGAGTGATAGGATTGAAGTAACCATTTTTCAAACACAGTGCGTGGTCGGAGGCCAAATCCAAATAGAAATACGTACTAAGTGCGAAATTTTTTAAAGTGTCATTGAGATGTGTGTATTTCAGTTGATAATAGTTCATTACAAAATTTTCTTAAATATCACTGCTTGTAAAGATCCGTAATTAAAACTTTTCGTTCCACTGGATCTTCGTACTTACTGTGTTTCCATGCTCATATTCCATTTCCCATTGTATTACGAAAACTTACTTTTAACATTATGTTACCCCTTAAAGTAGTGATCATCAATGAATAAAGATATTAACACATTTAATACACTTAATACATACATGTATTGCACGTATTGTTATTGATATTATTGGTGTTCTGCTTTCGTAACATATAACTGATTGTTTAATTGTTAAAAATTGCCTACAAATATGCGAAGGGTGTTTAAAATGTCACAAAACTGAATATCTTTTGAATAAGTGTCGAAGATTTAAATGGTTCGAGTTAAGAAATGAATCAAATAAGGTCCTTTCTTGTATATTGATATCTTTGAATAAACAAATGCAAAAATTATTTTTTTTAATATAGGATCCGTTTAAAATATACTTATGTATTACTAACATATGTCACTCAAAACTGTGGATAACAAAAATATGTGAGCATTTCTGAAACTGACATACGCGAACACGAAGAAAATCGTTGAACCTATTGTTGTTTCACCCATACTTAGCTTACACAGAAAGTTTTTCCTCCAAGTGCAGAGAAGTTCGTATCTGCGGAAAATTAACTCATGATTAAAAGGAAAAACAAAACGCATGTACATACCTCTTATGCTCCGAAAGTTCAAAATGACAAGGGGCAATTATTTTCTTTCTCTATACAAGGTTTATTTTGGCTGATATATTATTTTTATGTTAATTCTCTTCTATACCTTCCGTCAGCCTAGACCAAAATGCAAATTAATTGGAGCTTACAGAGTAAGCAACGTATGATTTTAGAGGAGTACTGCGGCACCCACTAAATACAGCAATTTGGCCTAAGACGAAGAGCCTACCACCTGTGAATTCGTTAGAAAGTTGCATCTGTTAGAACACAGGGTTAAAATTCCCATTCTGGAGTCGAAGTAGTAGGCTTAACTTTAAATTGTGTATTTCACTGATTTAAATACTTGAGCTCCTGAAACCCTGCAAGTAGTAATGATTATTGTTTGTTAATTTGACGTAGTCCACTAGTAAAATGAGTAGTTTAATAAACCGGTTATTTAAGTTTTACTTCTTGGCTGTATTACATAAGTTTACTTAGATATCTGAGTAGTTGTAAAAGCTAGTTAATCAGAGCAGGACAAATTGCAAATTAGCTTGTTAATTAAGCTTAATTGGAAATTAGATAGTTAATTAGGGTTAATTTTACAGCAACCTACATATTGAATTAAAGGAGAAACAAAGGGTGTTTACACATATTTAGAACGATTTCGGTAAAGAATTTTAAAAAAGGGAATGCCTTCGAATAAAAATTTTTAGCAACAGCTTATTAGTTGAAATGAGAAATATAATATGCTACTTTTAAAAATTTCTTCTTCTTTCAGAATGTCGCATGTAATTAAGCTGTGGATTGAAAGATATATTTTTGCGCTGTCCAAAGAGAAATATTAATATTTCATAATTCAAAAACATTCTGAAATGCATGGTATTAAAATTTATTATGTGCAAAATAGGAAATATTATTAATTGTGAAGGTAAAAAACACCATTTCTTACGATTCCATTCTAATACCCGAAAAAGATACGTACTGTTTCTAATGTTCCTGAAGTTAAATTGTTGGTAACAAGAGAAAATGCACTGGCTCAGAAATCAGGTGCAAAGTCTTTAAATACATCTGTAGCAACAATAAATAAAATAATAAACGAAGATCTACATCTTAAAAAAGCTAAAAATACAATGTTTACCAGCTTTTGGTGAGACGTGTGGCTCAACGCAGAACGATTAGTAAAACCTTGTATAAAAATTATTTAGCAAGATATAAATAGAAATATATTTTGACCCTAGATGAAGTATGCTAAATGACTGCAATAAGAAAAGGCCTGCTTAATACTGAAAACGAAAAGAAAAGAATTTACAGACCCTATCCTGTCAATACAAAGATAGTTTCAGTAAAGGTTTTATGATTGTCACAAGATTCCCCCTTACAGTGAAAAATTAAGACGAGTAGAAACAAATGTTGAAACAAGAGAAAGTTTTACGTCTGACATTTCTAGAAGAAATTCCATTTCTTAATCCCAACGATTGTCAAAGAGGGAAACTTCATCAATACACAGCAACAAATCATACTTCAAAAAGTACTCCTGCATTCCTTGAAAAAAAAAATGAAGACTGATACAGATACTGCATATATACCTTTTCAACATATTTCTGCAAAGTCCTCTGAAGTTTTACTTATGGAGTATTGTGCGTTTGGTCTCTTGAAAAGAGCTCTTTCTAAGCGCAAACCCACCACGATGGACGGATTCTGGAAAGTCGTGGAAAAGAAATGAAATTCAATACTCCTGGAAATTTTATGAGAAACTCTCCTGTCGTAGAAATTACGATGCAGACGTAGAGTCCAGAAAAAAGATTATCAGATAGACCATCGGGAAAAAAAAAAAAAAAAAAAAATACTGTTTGTAATTTAAACACTAAATAAACTTTAAAGAAATCTTTCTAAAGTTGTAACACCCTCTATAAAATATACTTAAAGTTGGAAATGAAAGTAAAATAACTTACCTGTGTTCGGAAAGACCCAAATTATCTGCTAGTTGTTTCCTTTCGTTACCCGTAACGTAATGATTCTTATCAAATGCACTTTCTAATTTCATTAGCTGAGAAGCGGTAAATGCTGTTCGTATTCTCTTCGCTTTACGGAACGGAGGTAAAAGAAAAGCTGGTATATCTGGACCTACAACAGAAATAACATTGAAGAATTTTTTGTAAATACGATCTTTTTTTAATTCATAAAAATTCGCGTAATTTTCACATACCTTTGAAATAGTGAATGTTTTCAACATATGCATGCAAAGAACGGAATGTGCTTTGTAAAATAACGTCCTTTCGTAGTTTTGATTTTTCATTACTTAAATTGCCTATCACTAATGGTACTTACGTATTATCGCAACCACCTTGGCGAATTTGAAGGAAGAAAAAGAACAATTACTTTGTAATAATTCGAAGCATTGTTGCTTTAGTGATTTTGCGACAAAATAATGTCCTCCAGCAAATATTTAACCTCTTGTTCTTCTATTATAGAACTACAAACAAAAAATTTTAAAATAGAGTGAAAAAAAAAAAAAAAACGTGATTTGCTATAAAAGCTGTTGGAACTTGGAACATAACAAAAGAAGGCATACGAAAATGGCGAAGTATGACGCTGAATATTTGTCATGAGCTTGATTGCCTAAATAATTGTTATACGCGTGGGTGTAGAGACATTAGATAAATTGGAAAAACCCGACAGATGAAAAATTAGCAACCGCCTTCGCCGGGAATCTAACCACGAACCTCTGGAATACCGGCCCAACATGCAGAACCACTACACCACGAAGGTACGCTAGGAAAGTGGGAGAAATACCTTACATACTCCCCTTTTTAAAGGGCGACTGGGGATTTAAGGGGATCCAATCGCCAAATCCTAGTTGCGGAGAATCATCATCCACAATACCATTTTAGTTCGAGCACCACTATAGAGACATTAGGTATATTTTTGGAAGCAGAAAAGATGAAAAATAGCGAACGCCTTTGCCGGGAATCGAACTACGGAACTCTGGAATATCGGTCCAGCGTGCAGAACCACTACACCAAGAAGGCGAGAGAAATACCTTACATGGTTATCAGAGTTTGGTGTATTCTGTAACTTTGGCGATTTTTACAAAAGTGATTGCGACGATACGTAAGTATCTAAATAATAACTGACTTGATAACTACACGTAGAACGTAATAATTTACTCCGTTATCAAGTGTAATGATTTGGCATTATGCTGTAATTCATTTTCAGAATAACGAAAGACTAAAATCCGTCCGATTTCTTAAAGCAAATTATTCTTTTACCTACTCATATTGTTAAAAGGATGTTTGCTTTTAAAAACATAGGTCAATTTATTTTTATGGCAAAGCACTTAATGGCAGTTTGCCTAAGAGAAGGACATGCTACGTGGAGCTGGTTTGTATCTGCACATTAAGTATAAGGGAAAAAAACATCAAATTTCTATACATCTAGGTCATTTTTCTATTAGGAATCAAAGCCGGTACAAACTATCACTGCCCCTTTCAGCCACTGGTTGGCATTTTCAAGGCACATTGGGGGGGGGGGGGGGTAACTCATATTTCTGCAGTTAAACAAAAAAAAAGTACTTTATAAATGTTTAAAATATTGACAAGATAACAGTAATAAAATTCATGAACTCTAATGAAAATATAATTATGATTGATAAATTCCAATAGAAATTTTTAAAAGCGTAAAATTTTACTACTAATCGGTAGATTTTAAACATCGAATAGTATACTTGTTGTACGCACAATGCGCAGATTTCGCGTATATGTTTTCATTCTTTTAAGATAATCCTACTATCATTAAACTTAGGAGATAATATAATCAATTAATCAATATTATTTAGTAAATAAATTATTATTAACTTACTTTGCAGCAATTGCGCAAGTAGTAGTAACTTGTTTTCGCACTAAATGAATTTAAGATCATACAACATATATATGTAAGATAAAATTATATGAATCAGAATTACAATATAACTATAAACATTAATTCTTCCTCTCTATTCTAAAATCGTAATAACTTCTCTGCATTGCATCATTTCTAGATCCCTCTATGGCCCGCGCAGCTCATGGACCTTATAAGAGATAGACTAACCCAGTGGACAGGGCGTGCGTCACCCACATGTCGGCAAGAAAGAGTAGGGACGATCAGGTTACACTGAAACCTATGGCGTTTGTATTACATAACTCTTTTTAATTATTAAAAGTGATACTTTGTATAGTGATGAGATTATGAAAGCCGCGTTTTTTTTTTCAAATAGGATTTATTATATCTCATTAAAGCACTTTTTACTGCATTTCGCGTATTTTTTTCACTCGAAATTTTTGTACAAACACCTTTACTTTGGCAAAACGGTAAAAACTCTAAGCACAAAATTTATGAACTTAATTTTGGGTGCAAATAACGTAAAATTAAATAAGATTGATAGTACGTGATGCTTTGAAATAAATAAGGTAAAATTTAACAAGATCTGATAATTTTTGCTTTAATTTAATGACCATTTTCAAAACTATAATAACATTACAAAACAACCATTTATTTGATTATATCATCATTAACTTATTAAAGTGAATATTTATTTTAGCAATTTATAAAATTCGCAGCATAAAATTTTCTGAGTGTAATGAACGGGAAAAAAAGGTAAAATAAAATCTAGAAGCACTCAGATTTTATATTACGCCAAAAAGGAACCTTTTTTAAACGTTTTATGTGTTACCTATATTATTGAATATCATGTCCTTCGCCCGTAAACCGCATACATTTGAAAACAGTATATCTTTCGAATTTCGGCACTGAAGATAAAAATATTTTACTTACAGTGTTACAATTGCTCGCTTTGGATTCTTTGAGTTTGTTAATCACAAATTTGTTAAAGTTTTACAAAATATGGTATAGATTAAAACAAATTCGAAATTCGGCCGTCCAGATTCCCATGTTCGGGTGGAGTATTACATTATTCAAAATTTGATGGCTCTAGATACTACCATCGTTTTTGTCACAGTGCGAGAAACATACATGTATCCATGTAATTTAATATTTGCAAGGAGTCACGGACATTTATAGTGAAACAGTGCAAAATGCCGCTTCGAGCTAATAAATTAAATTAACAGTAAATAAAAGAAATCTTATGCAGAACTAAAAATAAATTTAAAAAATAATCACTATAAAATACAAGCAAAATTAATTATTACGGTTAAATACAATTTTAATATTAGAATTAAATGTATAAAAATTATTAAGGAGTCAAAAGTGTTTATCACTATGATGTATTATGAAATATAATTGAAATAAAATTCCTTTATAGAAATTGTGCTATAATAGTCATCTATAATTTTTAAAAAGTAGCACAGTTTAGAATATTAAACAAAACGTTCAAAAATTCGTTTTTAAATATTTTATTATTTTTTACTCATTTACACCAATAAAAAGCATAAAAATTGCAAGAGAAAATTGCTTGTTTGAAATTTTCTATTAGTTCAGATTTAAAAGATTATTTTCTAAAAGTAGTAGTAGTTACAAATTTCCTTACAGCATAGGAAAAGCTAAAAAAATATCCAGCCCTGAAAGCATGCAATAGCTTTATAATTATTTGGAACGTTAATTATGCTTGATAAATATGCTAAATTTTTAAAAATCAATCTCAATTTCAAAAATAAAAATATGGAGAAATTCTAATTTGTGAAATGAGGCGCTACAACCAGCTTTTTCTTGACAATTATACACGCTGCAATAGGCAACCACTGTTAAATTTCTGCAAGTCGTCCCTACTCCTCCGGATGTGGTCAAGGTGACAGCCGGGAACGACTCGGACGAGGGAGAAATCCCATTTGGGTTAGTCTATTTCTTATAAGGTCCATGGCGCAGCTCTGATGACGTAATAATTAGGAAGTGAAACTGCCTTTATAAACCAAAACTTTTCTCTTCGCCGTGCTTCCATCCTTCATAACTACGCACTTCAGCTTTTGCTCTCAACTGTGCTAAGATGTAATTTCGCTGGCTTGCTTTCTATCTCAACAATATCAAAAATGTAAATCTTCTGTGGAAAGGCACGACTAGAGTGCCAAGTGATTGTGGCCACAAATATCAGTTGCAAATAAAAATGGAATTAAAACTGCCTCGACTGCCAAGTTCTTTAGATATTACCAAGTTAGCATTACTAGCATACTACGCAATCAAAATCTTCTTCAGTATGGGTCTAATCACGCATTTACAGTGTTCCGTCTTTTCTTTTGCTTTTATTATGACATATATATATATACATATATTTTATTTAAGCATTAATAAACTTTTGCATAACATAAAACCCAAGGTCTTTACTTGTGTATTGGATGTAAATATTAACTTTTATGACGTCAAAAAATCAAGACAAATACACTACCTAAAACTAAAGTTAATTGTTATGTTGAAGGTCCAAATGGTCGAATACAAATTCCCCTTTGATGCATATGTTCGAAAGAACTATTTTCAGCTAGTTCAAAGGTTTTATTTAGACTACAGCAAAACATCTAAGGATTATCTACCTAGGAGCTGGAATGCCATCGTGGCGGACTTTAAGGAAAACAGGCTTATATTCACGTTACACATTGGAAGACAAGCATGCGAAGTCTATACCGTTTGAATGAGAAGTCATATGTGGATTCTCTGCTCGCTTGGTAAAATATTCACGATTAGCTTTCATGAATTACAAAAAAGTATTGTATTATGCTTAAAGTTTTGCTTGGGTAACGCAGAATTTGGTTAATCACAGTTCGGTTATAGTTGGACCGCCGCAACCGCGACCATGAGCGAAAACACGCATGCGCCATTCGGACCGATTTGTTCATGAAATAGGCAGGATGGACATGAATCATGTAGTAGCGATTCTTTCTCTGTTTATTTTCGCAAAGTTCAAAGAGAACAGAAATAAGGCTAAAAATACTTTTAAGTAATCTAAACTGAAATATGATCATCATTTTTAATTGTTTCATTACATTGTGTTCCATTTTATGCATTTATTTATTTATTTATAAATTGGGAAAATCCGAGTGTTTTCAAACCTTAATTTTGCTATATCGACAAAATGTAATGATAAGTTATAATAAAATTTAATTGTTATTGTAAAACAATTTTTTTATAATTACTTATTTGCTAAA